GAAAAAAGTGACTGATGACCATTTTTCACACTTAGCGACCGTTGCGACCATTTTTCACACTTAGCGACCGTTGCAGCACCCAAGGTGTTCCCCGTTCTGGCAAACAAAGCTATTTTGACATTGCTCCCATTTTCCACTACATATTTATTTGATTCCTATTCAAGAGAATTACTTTATATATAGTCAATATAGGCACAGAGTTAAATTTTTTAAACATTTTGTAATGGTGGTGTGCCTCGTGATTTTTTTCATGAAAAAAGTGTGCCTTTGCACAAAAAAGGTTGAAAAACACTGCTTTAGATAACTAGAGGAATCAATTGATTTTATAATCCTCATTTGCACATTATGCTCAAAGGGACTATGTATTTTATAGAAAAGATTATTACAAGGGGGGGGGGAGAGGAAGAGAAGGAGGGAGGGAGGGTTAGAGTGGATCATTTCCAGCACCAGAATGTTCAAACACCCAAAACCACTCAGTCTTCCTTGGGTTAAACCAAAGCCTAGTCTGCAACATTCAGACTCTCACATGACCAGACAAGAGGTCTGCGTCATCACTGTAGTGGTCAGGCCTAAGATGTAAAACTGAGTATAATCAGCACACTGAAGCAAGTCAATTTCATAATATAATACATTTCAACATATGGTTTAAAGATGGGAGAAATGTTTTAGAGGAATTTGAAGAAAACACTAAAATTTGTGTTCCTTGATATATATTATGAATAAAAAAGTCCAAAATCATTTAATATTTAAATTTAACCAACAAAAATCTTAATAAATTAAGTACATTTACCTCTATGTACAAGTAGTCCTCAACTTACTATGACATTTATTTAATGACCATTCAAAAGTACAACAGCAATGAAAAATATGATTTTCATTACAGGGGACAATAATGACAGACTTAAATGTTAAAAAATGAAACACTAATACTTATAAGAAATACTTAGGGTAACAACTAATGCAAGAAATAAGAAATCTAATCTTCCTTTCCAACATTATTCTCATTTCTATCCTTTTCCTTACAATTACAATATTTCCCATATACTGAGTGGTTTGCGAATATAAAGACCTTTAAAATAAATAGTAAGTTCTCTTTATATAAGGTCATTTTAAACTTGGATTACTCTTCTTAAGGGGGAAAAATTCTGGAACACTACAGTATTTACTGCTCCTGTTTTCAAGTGTCTCTAGGCATTTACTGATATCTGAATAAAATTAGTTGCTGACTGTGGATCCTTTTTTACTTGAACTTTTATTGAACTAAACTGACACCTTTGGAAGTACTAAATTATATAAAAAAATATTTTTAGACACTTTCAAGGGCCAGTAACATGTCCTAGACACTGAATAAGAGAAATGTATCTGAGATTATTAAACAGAAGTGCTATTGTTAGTATAATATAAATATTATTAACATTAAAAACTAAGTACCGTTTTCCAGAAAATAGGACCTAGCCCAAACATAAGCCCTAGCCTGTTTTTTAAGTGTGCGGCTAATATAAATCCTACTGCAAAAATAAGCCCTAGGGAATGGGTAGGCATGGCCAGCATAAGAGTCGGTGAGATTGTGTGGGCCAATAGTGTACAGCACCACTGCAGCCACACAGGTGATTTTATTATTTGTCCAAGCAGTAGGCAGAGCCAGAGGTGGGAGAGGCACACTATCTAGACGTATCACACGGGCCATGGGAAAGCCGAGATTGGTGGGCTGGAGCAGCAGATGGCCACAGGAAGCTTGTCTTTGTTCAGCAGCACTGCCCACAGATGGAGGAAGAGGCATGGGGGATAAGGCAGGCAATCCAGACGTGCCATGTGGACTCTGGGAAAGCCAAGAGGTGGGTTGGAATGGGTGGTCGGCCACAGGCGGATCATCTTCACATCTCTTGGCTTGCCTGTGCCTGCACAGTGTGTTGGAATTGCCTGCCTTCCACCCCACGCCCCTGCCTTCTTTTGCTGCTGGTGCCGCCGTGCAAAGACAAGCCTCTTGCTATGGCCTGACTCTCAGTTTTCCCGCAGCCTGCACACGCTCTGCCTCCTCCTCCCACGCCTCTGCCTCCATCTGTTGCTTGAACATGGAATCAACTCACCTGTGTGGACTGTGCAGCCCCAGAGTGAACCGATCAACAGCAGGCTGCTGATGCTGCCAGATACCATCAGTCTTTGTGCGCCCATGTGGGCACATCACCGTGAAAGCGTGTTTCCCCGAAATTGGAGCCCCACAAAATATAAGATTGGGTCTTATTTTCCAGAAAACACGGTGTATACCCTAACCCTGTATATATCTCTATATAAAATGCTATTAAATAATATAACTTTTTATCATCAAAATATTGTAACAATAATTTGGATAATTGGGTGTCATTTAAACTGAGTTTTTGGGTAAAATTATATACCTACAGATATGTGATATCTCTCTCTCTCTCTTTTTTTTTTACAAAATGTGTTTTCAGAAACAATGCAATGTTTCAGAGGTTTATATTCACATACTGGTTTTGATGTTTTATTTCCCCTTTTATTATTGTTAACTATCTTAAATATTAATAATTTAATTCTACGATAACATTAAAGCATTATTCTGGTAATTATTAGTATACCTATATGGGAGCTGTAATTTTTTGTGTGCTTCCTTTATCTTCACTGATAAAACAAAACATTACACCTAACCTCTGCTTTAGTTGTGTTTAAAGAACTGGCAAAATTTAAAGCAAAAACAAAACAATAAAAATTCAAAATACAAACTGAAATTAGTGATGAAATCACCTTAAAAAAACCTAGCAAGAGAACTGTTTCTTTTCAGATTTTTAAAAAGAAATAAAGTGAAGACCAAACAGTTTGTAGAAGAATTGTGACCCATGATTTGGGAGGAAAGGTGAAGTCCCTCTTTCACACATCATCCAAATGAGCTTCTGCTAGTGGGATACATTCAAAAAGTCTTCCACTGCAGATTTGTATAGTATTATAAAGAGAGAATCCTTTAGATATTCAAGTCCAAAGCTGCTTAGTATTTTTGATATGAATGTCCACATGATATACTGTATATGATAAGCAACTAACAATTCAGTAAAGGCATAATGCAATCTCTTTAGTTTCATTATGTGATACCTAACTGCTGTATTTGAACTAATAGCAAACTTTCAAGTATTAACCCATTTAGAACTCACTGCAGCAGTCAAAACAGAACTGAAATACAGCTCTGTCCAATATGACTAGCTAAGGATAAGATGCAGCTGATGAAGGCAGATATATTACACAAACCCATTATAGAAAATAGTACAAACCTGTCCTCCAAATCTTAAACCTCAATCCTTATCACATTTCCTATACAGTATATCAATAGCACTTCAGACCTGTCTGAATTTAATTACCCACTATTCTCATACATGATAAGTCAACAAATAACGTGTTTCAGTGGTTACTTTCCTAACCATGCTTTCTGGATGTGGCCCAACAGGAAAGGCAGGGCAGATGAAAGCAGGGCAGAAGAATAGTTTTGGAATGGGAGGAATACTGGCTCGTGTCTCATCACTAATTAGACCAGTACAGCATGCTCTATACTGTATACACTGAAATTCATGTCTACACACTCAGTATATCTACTCTAAAATACAAAGATCTTGTTGCTGGCTGATGCTTGTCCTTACAAGTCTATTACCCCAGTGCTCGTGGGGTTACAGTGGATATAGAAGGTTTACATACCTCTATTAAAATGCTAGGTTTTGAGATGTGAAAAAATCAGACAAAAGTAAATCACTTCAGATTTTCTTCTACCTTTAATATAGCATATCAGCTGCACTTATTTAAGTCTAAAATATATGACACCAGAAGATGAGACCCTCAAGTTGGAAGGTGTCCATACGCTACTGAGGAACAGCAGACGACAATTAGAAATAGCTCCAGAAAAAGTGAAATGGCTGAAACTGAAAAGAAGCTCAGCTGTGGATGTATCTGATGCTGAAAGGAAAGTCCAATGCTGTATAGAGCAATAATGCATAAGAACCTGGAATGTAAGATCAATGAATCAAAATAAGTTAATGTCATCAAACATGAGATGGCAAGATTGAAGATCAACATCTTGGGAATCAGTAAACTAAAGTGGGAATGGACAAATTTAATTCAAATTCCCATTAGATCTATTATTGTAGGCAAGAATCCCATAAAAAAAATGAATAGTCATAGTCAATAAAAGAGTAGGAAAAGCAGTGCTCGAGTAAAATCTCAAAAATAATAGAATGATCTTAGTTCGAAGGCAAGGCAAATGATTCAACATCACAGTAATCCTTGCGTATGCCCCAACCACTAATACCAAAGAAGCTTAAGTTGACTGGTTCTATGAAGAATGACAATACCTTCTAGAACAGGGGTGTCAAACTGGCGGCCTGCAGGTCAAATACATCACATGCAGACCACAGCTACCAAGCTCCGCAAAGGAGAAAAACATCACAAAATGTCATGTGACGGCAATGTGACACTGCAAATTTGACGCCAATGTTCTAGAACGAACAACAAAAAGATGTCCTTTTCATCACAGGGGATTAGAATATTAAATTAGGATGTCAAAAAATAACCAAAACAGGCAAGTTTGTTGTTGGACTACAAAATGAAACAGGTCAAGACTTATAGTTTTGTCAGGCTACTCACAGCAAACACTCTTTTCCAACAGCCCAAGTGACTCTAGAGATGAACAACATTAGCTGCAAGTACACAAGGACTTCCAAACTGCACACCACTCATGAATGAAGAAGTGCTCACTTTATCCAAGATCAAGCATTAAAATATTTCAAATTTTACTCTGCTAGTCTAACAATTCTAACAATTCCGTTTTTCCCATGAGTAAGCCAGTATCACATAAAAGATACAAAACAATATTCTGTTGCTCCTCAGCAACAAATAGTCTCTTCAAATAGGAGTGGCTAAATACCTAAATACATTATTATTTATTAAATGTATGTTCCACCTCTCTCACTGATAAGGTGACTATTAGAATATTAGTAGCTAGTGATGTATTTTTATCCAAATATGTGATCATCTCTTGAAGCAATATACTCTATAAATTGTGTGCTAGCAAATGATGTACCAATACTTTATTACTTTCTTGAAGCTCCTGGCAATTAATTTCATTGGATTATCAATTTTTAGTATTAAGAGGATATAAAACTTCATAATTTTTTTCAGACATTGGTGATTTTATAAATCCTTACTACAGGAATAGATAAATTTCTGCCAAGGTTGCACACCTTTTGAAGTAATAACTCCAATAGCATAATATAGTATAGAAAATCAAAGCCAAAAATTCTCATTTCTTCTCCCTGCTTTAACCAGTACAGGTAGACCTTGACCACAACAGGTCAATTAATGACTGTTTACAGTTATAATGGCAATGAAAAAAGTGACATGACCATTTTTCACACTTACAACCATTGTAGCATCCCCATAGTCATGGGATCAAAATTTAGACACTTGACAACTGACTCATATTTATGATGGTTGCAGTGCCCTGTGATCACCTACCACATCCTTCTGACAAGCAAAGTGAATGGGTGTCAAATTCACTTAACAACTGTATTAATGAACAACTGCAGTGACCCACTTAAAAACTGTGGCAGGAAAAGTTGTAAAATGGGGCAAAATTCACTTAACAACTGTCTCACTTAGCAACAGAAATTTTGGGGTCAATTGTGGTCATAAGCCAAAACTACCTGTAGCTGCAATAGGGAGAAAAGGCTATTCTTAAAGGAGATTAAACTGTTGTTGGTAGGAGCTTCATAAATTTGAATGGGTGCAGATTCTGACAAATGCCATAATATGTAGTTCTGATGCTAGTACCCCTTCACATACTACAGTATCTCCCTTCTAATCACTTTTTTCCTACTTTCTGAATAGCTCTGTGACAAGAAAGATCGTCGTTCATTTTAAATCTCTCTGTATCTGCCAAAGAACAAGAAAGGAAGTTATCCTCTTCTGTGGCATTTTTATTTTGACATACGTGATGTCACTAGTGATCAGATTAGCTATTAAATCAGTATAGTAGGAGAAAAAGAATCTGTTTACCATTATCCCATACTTAAGGTAAGTATTTGCAGTATTAAACTTCAAAATACAGAAAATGTACTGGTGCTTCCGCATTGTGGTTATTTCATCTGTCCTTCCTTCCTGCACATAATTCCTTCTCTTATTTATGTCATTATATGTCTGATACGTTTTTCACTTGACCCTAGCTATGATTTTGCTTGCTTTTACATTTTTTTCTTTTACTTCATTTATTTTTAATTATACCATTTTCTGTAACCGGAATTTAAATATTATGCACCAGCCAAAGGTCAATTCAACCAGGTGGAGCTTAACTTACAACTGTTCATTTAACATTAGTTCAAAGTTATGATGGCTTTGATAAAAGTGATCTACAATCACCTACTGTCATTCCACTCCGGCAGTCATAATTACTAGTGATCACAATTTGAGCAATTGGCAAGTAATTCACATTTACAACCTGTTGCACATCCTGAAGTCATGTGATCATAATTTAGCAAAAAAGACACCCATTCAGAAAGCTGAACCACTTAACAACTGTCATGATTCACTTTATGACAATTGTAAAAAATGATTTAAAATCAAATGTGACTCAGCTTATGATCGCAATGACTTATGATGGAAATTCCAGTCCCAACTCTGGTAGTTAGTTGAGGACTATCCTTATTTTTGAATATTTTTGAATATTTTTGAAACCCTTAGATTGAGTTTAAAAAGTGGTACCTTTTAACTAGTCTGAAGTTATTAAAACAAAACTTTTGAACATGCATAATTACAAGTTTTAAAAGTGTACATTTACAGATGTTTCAGCTTTAGAATTTTGTGACTGGGTGGCAAGCAAAAGGAAGATTGACAGGATCATTTCTACAGGACACATCTCCTGTACATATATGTGGTTCTGCCAAGTTTACACGGCTAAAGTTGCCTGCTCAGATTCTATAGGATGTTCAGAATTATTTTATAGTTATTGTTACAAGGCAAAATTTGTATTTTTAAATTGTTAATGTTTTGGGATACTTTTTGTGAATCATAATTAGTTCTTTAACATCTGAGGAAATAGCTGTTTGAATTTCCTATTTCAGTAGTTTGTATTTAAAAGTGAACATGATATACAGACATGGATATGTACACAAAATATTGCTTGATGACCCAAAAGAATTTTTATCCTATGAGTAATGTTGCAAAACTATGACATCAACAGTGGCATAAGATATCTGGACAGGAAACAAAGACCTGGAAAGTGCTGAAAAGCTTTTAGTTTCCCTAGCTTTTAACCTCACAGGTGTTGGTATAAATTGAATTCTAACTGTGTGCAGTTTGATACTTGTATCTTGAACACAGGAAATAATTATAGCAAGACAGCAGTTTGGTGACATTAAATGATTTAAATCCTATTATAATTCAACTTTATGAAGAGAATCCTTCATAAAGATCTGTGTATTTTTTTAAAAAAAAATTGTAGACCCAAAGTCTGTTTCTGGAAGTTGGATGGCATACAAATTTAATTTTAAAATGTTGTGTTGGAGAACACCTGAAAATATGTTCTAAATAACCAACACATTTGTATATCCTAAGCTTAATACTTGCTACATAAAACTTTCAGGATCTAGCATAATATTTAAGCAAATGTCTTCTTGTTTTACCTGTACTTCTAGTTGTTATTGTACAAGAATACATATTTGAATAAGGTTACTTACTAATTTTAATTTAGGTTATCACCTTAATTTTATTTTTCTCAATGTGGGTCTAAAATGGCAGGTAAGGATAAATTTGTCCAATCATAAACATCTGAGTATAGTCTGCAGCATGATTTCTAAACTAATTATACCCGAGATGGGTATTATTAAAAACTATACCCATTTCAAACACATATTAAGGACAAATACTTCCAGAGTTTAAAAAGTACTTTATGTAGTTATTTGGATTCTTTCTAACATTTTTTTCTGGAAGGCATTTTACAAAAATATATGCAAAAACATGCCCTATAAAAGCTCCTAGCGGCTGTATCTTTAGTGACTAGTGTTAAAGATATAAAATACTTAAGGTTTAAAGAATACACTTTGCAATTCTACAGCCCTGAACTTATCAATTAGAAGCCCTAAGTTCAATACAGGCTGGTCTGAAATGGGTGAGGTGTATCTATTTCTAATAACTCTCCTCTGTTCTACATTTAGTAAAGCTACAAAACTTAAGTTTCAAAAAAGCAAATGAGTCCTAAATTGGGCGACAACGGATACCCTTAAATGTTCTTTTCGCACTTTTGCAAAGGTGGTGAGAAGCCTTGCTTTGAAGCAAAACAAGGCCACGTTCTGATCAGAAAGAGACTGTTAGAAAAGCTTTTGTTTCATTTAGAATTACATCAGGGCAGCTTATTTGGAAATAATTTGGCAGTACCTGCCTCATATCACACGGATTTATGGAGTAAAGATCATGAGGGTGGTTAAAACTTGTGAAAGGTTTTTTTTTTTTTTAAACAAGTGTAATTGTAAGCGCTTCTCTTAAAAACATGCTTTGCTCTTACATCTTTCAATTCAATTCTTCGCCTGGCTCACTACTTGAGAGGGCGAAGGACTTTGTTACTGGGCGTAGGGAAGGGTAGTAGTTACGCGAGTCCAGAGCTCACAACAATGCCTCCGGTGAATCATCAGAGAGTGAAATCCTGATACCTCCTGCTCGCCCCACCCCCCCAGAGGGTAAGATTTCACCAAAAGAAAGAGGCCGACATACTAGTGGTTTTTTTAAAAACTAACCTAGGGAAGAGAACCGCTAAGAGGTTTTTTTTAAAGGACTCAGTAGTAGGCAAAAAAAAAAGGCGCGTTTCTTTTCTCTCCCTCTCACGCCTCTTCGGAGCCTTTTCTCAACCGATCCCTCCCGCGAAACCCCAACAATACAGGAGCCACAGAGTCATTTCGCAACGCGATCCATCCAAGCTCCAGTCCCTTTAACTCGTAGCCTTTGTTTTCCCATCTCCCGGGGAGAGTTTCGCGAAAGAAACGCTGGGCAACCGAGGGTGGCGGGAGAAGAGGGGGATGGGGCAAAGGCGGTTGGGGTGGGCAAACGGAGGGCGGAGGGGTGGGGGATTTCTGCTCTTCCTCGCTGATTTCTAGCCTTACCTGCGCAAAGAAACGTTATAGCCCAGAAGAGCGGCAGCAGCGATGCCATGGCGGGGAGAGCGAGAGAGAGAGAGCGAGAGAGAACAGTCGCCGGCGGCCAGAGGAAAAGGAGCGACTCTCGAGCGAATTCCCAACGGACAGTCGCCGGCTCGCGCCGCCCTCCTCTGTCCCCTTGCAGCCCAGCAGGTGAAACGACCGTCACTTCCGCCCGGCCACAGCCCTGCTTGGTGCTCCGCTGGAGTTGCCCGACGCTAAGGGCAGCCGAAATCCGAGAGAAAGGCGCTGACCTCTCCCCTTCGCTTACTTAGTTGATCACTCACGCTAAGCAGAAACTCCCAGCAATACAGGCTCCGGGAAATTGCAACAGGCAAAAAAGCGCCCTGACTTGCCTTATACTTCCTATAAGGTGGATTCTCTCTCCGGTACACGCACAATTCCATGAATAATAGATACCAGTGCAGAAAGCTTAGGAAGGTCTGTGTGGATTTGGCCACTTCTTCCTGGACCCCTTTTTAACTCCCCACAGAAAGGGAGACATTTGTGCAATTGTATAAGAGTCCGTAGTTACCCTTTTACAGAAATAAAAACAAATTATTTCATGCCATAAACATCTTTTTCATATAGCCCTTAGCTAATACTAGTCGCATTACACCCTTTTCTCCCCCAACAAAAGGTTAAATCTGAAAGTAAGTACTCTGGATCTACACTAACCTGTGCATAAATTACATGCACTTATCACATATATAGCTGGAAAGACAAAGTCCTATCACAAAATATAACAGGCCATTGGAATAAAAGAGCTCTAATGGGAAATAATGTACAGGGTACCTAGAATATATCAGAAAGAATAAAACAGCAAAATTGTATGAAATTGAAACTATATAGAATTTGTAATGAGAACTTCCAGAACTATGATGAATTGCATGCATCAGATTTTGGAAGAACTATAGTCAAAGGGACTTTTTATCTATTTCCTGTCTGTCTTTTCAAAATTCTGTGAGTAGATTTGCTAGATGATTTGGCCAAAACAGTTATTAAATGTAAGTGATATACATGTTTATCTAGCTTCAAGTTCAGAGATATTTATTTAGAGAGAAAAAAGACCATTTATTTGCAAAGCTATAGACTAATCTAATTTCCTCTTCAATTGGCATATCTTTTCCTGTATTTAGAAACCACGGTATTCAGGAGAGAAACTGAACTTGACTTTTTAAATAATATTAATACAGTTGAATATACAGATAACTGGATAAATATATTAGTGAGAGGAGCATTTGTAGAAAAATTCCCATTGTTACTCTTGTGTTCCTTAACTACTTCCCAGGGGTTGAAATCATTTCTCCTAAGTCCTGTCCCTGTATTGCAAAGCCAAGTTTTTCCCCCTGACTTCTGTAGGGATCAGTGTCACCTAAGATGATGATGTGCCTTCTCCCTAAATGATTGTCAATAATCTCGTGCTGTGTATGATGATGGCAACTAAGATGTCTCTTATTCTGCTGAAATGAATATGTTAATGTACTGTACAATCTTATGAAATCATTGGTTTCTGTAAATAACCTACATTTTTTCCCTTGTAATCTGAGTAACTGTTTTCAGGATAAAATTACAGGGGAAGCAGTAGATGCATGTCATTTTTTCCCTCCTGAAAATACAATTGAAAGTTGTGTTTATCATTTACAAAAGAATTTACTGTGTTTAACAGTTTGTTTAGCTTGAGTCCTAAAACAAATGCTTAAGGCTTTATTTATACATTTAGCACTGATTTCAGAGATCTGTTCTTCAAAATCAAAGCTTCGTAAATTACAGAAAGTATTTTAAGATTTGCCAAATTAGATATATGATTACTCCTGGATACTAAGCAATTCATAATTCAGATTTATGTATTTAATTAGCAAAGCAGTTGGCTAATTCAGAACACATTAATAGCTTTCATAACTAGCAAATGCATAGTGGTATAAGTTTTAACTAGGTGGAAATATTCATTTAAAAACCAAGAGACTGTAAGTTCTATTCTCACCTTAAGCATGACAGCCAGTTAGGTAACTTTGGGACAATTATTATCTCTCAGTCCAATTCACCTCACAGGGTGAGGTGTTGTGGGGAAAATAGGACAAAGAAAGAATAGAAGTAATCCTCAATTTATGACCGTTTATTTAATGATGATTCAAAGTTACTGTGATGTCAGAAAATATATCTTACAACTTATTCAATTGTTGCACAATCAACAGCAATTATTTACTTAACAACTATAGTAAAAATAGTTGGAAATCAGGTCCAGTCATGTGATGACTTGCTAATAGCAACAACACTTAGCAACTAAAATTCTGGCCCCAATTGTGATCATAAGTTTTATTATGTATGTTCACTGCCTTGAATTACTTATAAAGTAATAAGATCCAGGTAAAAATGTAATAAATAATGTCTTATCTCTCCTTCATAGTTTAACTCAGCAGGCATCACAATGCTTCAATTTGCTCCACAACTAGATTGAACTGAATTAAAGCAATTCTGTGAGTTTCCATGATTATCAATGGACAACTTTTATTTCTATGATCGTAATATGTTAAACACTATATGATCCTCACTTTCTAATACATCTGCTAATCTTTATATTGTTGTTGTTTTTATTTTTATTATTATTTACTTTATTCATTAAACATGAAACTCAATCAACTGAACACTCAAAAATGCATCACAAATACCATTGACTGGTGCTACTGGTTGATACAGGTTGCTGCCAGTGTCCCAGGTATCAACCAAGTACCTTCTTAAGATGTACGATGTTCCGAGTAACAAAGTTTTTTGAGGTTCCGCTGGTGTTATTGCACGAAGCTGCAATTCCTTGGTGTATTTTATAAAATTTTTGGACATGGTACAAAGTACCATGGTACCGATGACAATGGGTACCACTGTTACATGTTTCATCCATAATCGCGGTTTCGATGGCCAGGTCACAATATTTTGTGATTTTTTTTCCAGTTCTTTTTCTTTGAATCTGGTGTCCCCTGGTACCAAGATATTAATAAATTGTATGTTTCGGGTTC